CCGGGGACCGGCACGGGGATTGCAACCCCCGGCGTGCCCCCCGCGCCTCGCTCAGCCAGTGAGCGGGAGCCGGTCCGTATGTGGGATCCGAACCCTCGGCGTGAGCGCCGCCTCGCTCCCAAGCGGCGCACTGTAGCAGTGCGCCACCAGGCCAGCCCCAATTTGTCTCATTTTTGAAGGACATTTTTGCTGATACAGTATTCTTGGTTGAGGTTTTTTTTGTTGTCGTTAAGTACTTTCAATATATTATCTCACTGCCTTCTGGCCTACAAGGTTTCTGCTGAGATTGTTTATAATTGTTTAGAAGCTCCCTTGTATATGAGGAGTCATTTTTCTCTTGCTGCTTTCAAGATTCTGTCTTTGTCTTTAACTTTTGACAGTTTGATTAGTTTTAGGTGGGCATCTTTGTATTCATCCTAGTTAGAGTTTGTTGGGCTTCTTGAATTTGTGTATCCATTTATTTCTTAAGATATTGGAAAGTTTAACCTTTAACTTTTGACAGTTTGATTAGTTTTAGGTGGGCATCTTTGTATTCATCCTAGTTGGAGTTTGTTGGGCTTCTTGAATTTGTGTATCCATTTATTTCTTAAGATATTGGAAAGTTTAAGCCCTTATTTTTTCAAAGATGCTCTCTGCTCATTTTCCTCTCTCTGGAACTACTATAATGCATCTATTTGTCCACTTGACAGTGTTTCATAAGTTCTTTATACTCTCTTCAGTTTTCTTCATTTATTTTTTTAACATTTCTCTTACTATATAACTTCAAATGACCCCTCTTCATGTATGCTGCGTCTTTTTTCTGCCTGATCAAGTCAAGTGTTAACCCCTCTAGTGTATATTTCAGTTAAGTTACTGCATTTCTAGCTCAATCTTTTTATTTTACTTTACTTTTATTATACTTTGTCTCTTTGTTGATATTCTCACTTTGTGCAGTCATTTTCCTTATTTTGTCTAGTTGTCTATTTTTGTTGTTCATAAGCTAAGTATTTTTAAGACAGAAATATGCATTTCTTTAGAGACATTTAGTTTAAATCTGGAGATTTATTTTGTTTCTTTTCTGGGCCTTGTTTTCCTATTTCTGTGTATGCCTTATGATCTTTTGTTGATATTTGGGCTTTTGGAAAAACAGCCTCCTCTCTCAGGCTATAGATTATGAGGCCTCACAAACCTTTTCTAGAGATGTGTCTCGCTGCAGCACTTGCCTCTCTTTTCAGTGGCCTCCAAGCTGGTATCCCAACTAAAGCTCTCTTCCCATCAGCATGCTGAGGCAGGCAAGACAGAAACCAGTCCTTCCAGCCCGTGGAAAAGGCAGATATTGAATAATTGTTTCACTTTGTTTTTACATCCTGAGGGAGGAACCAGAAATTGGGAGGTTGTCCTCCAAATTGTACTTTGCTACCCCAGATATGGGGAGGGGAGTGGGCAAGCAAAACATGACTTTTGGTACCATTTTTGGTGCCGTTTTTTCTTTGTTAGTCATTTTTTTTTGTCCTGCAACTTCTTAACATGTTTCTAGACTTCTTACAAAGGTATTTATTGGTCCATGTGTTGCTGTTAACTCTTATCTTCATGGGGGTACAAGGACCTGGAGCTTCCTAGTCCACTATTGTGCTGATATGATTGCCTAATCTGTTGATTGCCTAATCTGTTGGCCTTTTAGCTATACCTTTTTGCATTAATTTTTAATATTGTATTTAAATTTATTGTGATACATTAAGGCTGCATATTATAATATGGAAATATCCCATTACAATATGGATCCTTAATTTATAACAATATACTTAAAACTGGTTTTGTACTGCTTCACACAAAATATAGGAATCTTTCAATACTGTAGTTATATTTTAATATCCTACACTTCAAAAAGTTCATGGAAAAACGGAATTAAAAGGTAATATGAATCCTATGAATTCTTTGAAGACCCCTCAGATATGTATATATTTACATATTTCATCCATATATACTGTTAATCCTACATATGCTGCTATAATTTTTGCTTAAATAAGAATATCTATTTTAGAGAAATTAAGAGAATATTAATACTTAATATGATATATATACACACACAGCAAACCCTTGAACAACACAGGTCTGAACTGCACAAGTCCACTTGCACTCAGATTCTTCTTTGATCTGTGGTTGTTTGAATCCACGGATATGGAACCTGTGCATGCAGAACCTGCCTACATACTCACTAGTTCAGCTGCCTGATCATGGGGAAAAGTTATAGGTGGATTTTCAACTGCACAGCAGGTCTGTGTCCCTAACCCCTGTGTTGTTTGAGGGTCAACTGTAGTTTTTAAATTTTACCTACACATTTATCATTTCTGGAGACCCATTCTTTCCTGTAGATCTAAGTTACAATCACAATCTGCTGTCATTTTCTTTCAGTCTGGAGAATTTCTCTTAGCATTTTTATAAAAAGTGTAGACTTACTGCTAATCAATTATCTCGTTTTTTGTTTATTTGAAAATGTGTTTATTTCAACTTCACAAGGATAGTTTCACTGGATATAGAATTGAGAGAAGAAGAATATTTTATACCAGCACTTTAAAGATGTCCTTCCCTTGTTTTTGATGAGAAGTCAGCCATCATTTCTATGTGGTTGAACACCACCACCCATTTGCTGTTTTTCTCTGTCTGCTTTCAAGAGTCTTTAACTTTAAATTTCAGCAGTTTGACTGTGATTTGTGTACTTTTCTTTGTGTCTACCCTGATTAGGGAACACTGGGCTTCATGGTCTAAATTGATACTTTCACAAAAAATATTTCACAAAATATTCATATGTCTATCCCTAGAAACAAGTATGGTCCTAGATCTATAATGTAAGATTTGTAATAGTAGTGTAAGGAATTAATAAATCATTACAGTGGCAGGATATTTCTACTGTGATGTTTCTTTCTCCCTCCTTATAGAGTACAAGAAGCTACATCTGTGTAAGATCCATAAGACACACGCACACACAGAAGAGTGAACTCCCAGATTCCTGTTCTTGTGACCCAGGGCTGGTGACTTGAGTTGAGGAGAAATGTGCTGTTACAGGGGTTGGTGTCATTTGAAGACTTGGTGGTGGACTTTACCTGGGAGGAGTGGCAGGACCTGGACGATACTCAGAGGATCCTGTACAGGGATGTGATGCTGGAGACCTACAGCAACCTGGTGTCATTGGGTGAGCAAAAAAATCACAGTAACTCCCAGGAGCAAGTGCTTTCTACTTTGTTAGTAAATATATGACCACATCTAAGGTTTAATGCTGTGTAGGTGTAAGATTCCAGTCCACAAGGAATGTGTCACCCCTCTCTAACAAAAGGTGAAAATTAGCCCCTTCATTCCTGAGGCCAAGTTCTTGTTCTTTAAAGGACGTGACTTAGCAGTTTGGCAAAATCCTACATTATCTCTCATTAACAGGGCACTGCTTCACCAAACCTGAGGTGATCTTCAAGCTGGAGCAGGGAGCAGAGCCATGGACAGTAGAAGAATCCCCAAACCAGAGCCTCCCAGGTCAGTAATTGCATAGTGGGCAGGGAGGCTGGGAAGAGTGGAGCCCCGCAGATGTGGGCCATGTTCAGTTACACTGATTTCCTCCCCCATTTCCTAGACCTGAGGACAGCTGGTCTGCATTCATCAGCCAAGTGCATTACACAGTCTGCAAGGAGGGCTCTCGCACACATGTCCCTCCTTTTATTTCGCTGAATATTTTCTTATATTTACTCAAAATTGAATCCCTGTCTTCCTCTTTTTATAGACATATTTCTCTACTATTCACTTTCTCAATATTCTCAGTTGCCCTCTGTTCTCTATTTTAATGAACTGGTTTTTTAGACATGTATTTATACATTTAATTCTTCTTTCAGAACCTCTTAATTCAGCAGGTTTTAAGTGCTGACAATTTTATACATACAACAGCAGTGATCAGAATGATGTCCATCTTTCATAGAGTTTACATACCGATGAGAAAGAACAAAGAAAATCACGTATGTTTAGTAGCTGGATGAGAACCATGAGGAACATTTTACCAGAGTGAGAGAAAAATGGAATGTGATATTTTAGGAAGAATGGTCACAAAAGGCAGCTTTAGTGGGATTATTTTTAAGTGTTATTTTGGTATAGCTTCAGTTTGAGTTAATTCTTTTCCAGTTTTGACATAGGTTTTTTTTTAAATCTAGATTCGAGAGTTGACATTACTTTTGGAAATTGGTAGCTTAAAGCTGATAGTGATACTTACAGAGATCACCTTGGTAGTTGATTAGGAAATGAGAAAAGAAGTCTAGGCATGAGCCTTGTGTACCACAGCATCCCAACATAGGAGTGTAGACAGGCATGGTCCTGCGCTTGGGAGGAGAAACAGGAGATCCTGGGTTCCAAAGCCAAGTGAACAAAGGGCTTCATATTGAAGGGCTCAGATTTCTGTCTGGGAGTGGAGTCTGAAGTTAGTCTTTTCCCCTTCTCTTTGTGGACATCAGTCTAAAACAACAACGAGAATGAGAAATGCACAGGAGGCTCCATTTTCTATGAAAGGAGGAGACAGCTGAAACTCCAACACACCAAAACAAAGCCCTCATAAGCAGTGAGTTATCTAGCAGGGGTGTTTGTACCAGGAATTGGGGGAGAATGCCAGGGTTGTTGATCTCAGAATGAGTCAGAAATACACTTGTCAAAGATGAGGACTCAGCTGTGGTTGCAAAACCAAATCCCTCAGACGAGCATGGTGCTCGGGGTGGTAGACTGGAGCTTTCTGAGAAGCAGAGGAAGTCAGGTTAAGTTAGAAATTTGCAGGAACCTGTCTTGGTCTAGCATGAAGAAGAAAAGATTGTGGATTGAAACGCTCCCAGAGACCTGTGGCCACTCCCCAGGAAAAAGCGAAAAATAAACAAATAGGTAAACAATTCTTTCTCTAAGCCATAAACCTGTCAGGTGACAGACAGATTGTCCTCTCCTGCACCCGCAGGTAGTGGGTCCAGGAGAACACTGACACCTTCAAACAAGAGTAATGAGAAAAATACCAGCTCGACACACCCCTGTTATTGGAAGAATTAGGTAGAGAAGAAGAATAGGGAATACAAATGGCAGATGATAAGCACTTACTTGAAAACTACATCTAGGCAGTAAGATGAATATTTTTACCACATATTTCTTTATGAGTTAAAAAAGATAAAAGTTAAAGAAATGAAGAAAAACATGATTTAACATTAGAAAAACTATTAATGTAATTTAAAACATATAAAACCAATACCCCTTGCTGGTTTCCATAAAATCTTATGCCACTAGGATAGGAAGATGCTTCTTTACCTTTACATGAACATTCCATGAGCAGTGCTTATGTGGGGTTCCTGATGTGGTTATCCTTTTTTCTCATTTCAGATGTCCAGAAAATAGATGACCTGTTTGAGAGGAGCCAGGAAAGTCACCATAGGCATATGTGGCAAGTTGTAATCACCAACAGCAACACATCAACTGAGGAGAGAGTTGAATTAGGAAAAACATTTAATTTGAGTTCAAACCATATTTCAAGTCTGGTTATAAATAGTGGAATGAGGTCTGACAAGTTTTATGTGTGTCAGAACACACTTCTCTCTAGTGAGCCTGACGAGATGCAGGCTGGAGAGAAACCTGATGCCCATAATATATCTGGGAAATCCCTCAGGTGTCCTGACTACTTTAGTCAGCATCACAAGATTCTAACTGGGCAGCAGCCTTTTGAATATGATGGACATGGGAAAGCCTCCAACAGGGAGGCAATATTGCTAATGGAAAAGAGGGCTCATATGGGAGAGGCTTCTTGTAAATACAGTGAACATGGGAAAGGCTGTGACAAGTCAGCTCTCACTGCCCAAGAGATAATAACTCAGGTAGGGAGGAAAACTTTCTTTAAAAACTCTAACCTCATTAAACATCAGCAAACACATACAGGAGAAGAATCCTATGAGGGTATTGAATGTGAGAACGTCACTGCCCAAGAGATAATAACTCAGGTAGGGAGGAAAACTTTCTTTAAAAACTCTAACTTCATTAAACATCAGCAAACACATACAGGAGAAGAATCCTATGAGGGTATTGAATGTGAGAACATCTTAAAGAATTCAGTCCTTACAGTACATCAGAGAACACATACACGAGAGAAGGCCTATGCATGTAATGAATGTGAGAAGTCTTTCTGTCAGAAGTCAGTCCTTACTGTGCATCAGAGAATTCACACAGGGGGGAAATGCTATGAATGTTACGAATGTGGAAAAACCTTCTGCAAAAAGTCAGTCCTTACTATACATCACAGAACACACACAGGTGAGAAACCCTATGAATGTTATGAATGTAGGAAAACCTTCTATAAAAAGTCAGACCTCACTATACATCAGAGAACTCACACAGGTGAGAAACCATATGCATGTAATGAATGTGGGAAAACCTTTCGCTCAAAGTCAAAACTCAGGATGCATCAAGGTACACACACAGGTCAGAAACCCTATGAATGTAATGAATGTGGTAAGGCCTTCTGCCAAAAGTCAGCTCTTGTTATACATTACAGAATTCACACAGGTGAGAAACCCTATGAGTGTAATGAATGTGGAAAAACCTTTCGCCGGAAGTCAAAACTCAGGGTGCATCAGGGTACTCACACAGGCGACAAACCCTATGAATGTAGAGAATGTAGGAAAACCTTCTACCAGAAGTCAAACCTCACTATACATCAGAGAACTCACACAGGTGAGAAACCCTTTGAATGTAATGAATGTAGAAAAGCCTTTCGCTATCAGTCAAACCTCAGCAGGCATCAGAGAACTCACACAGGTGAGAAACCATATGAATGTAATGAATGTGGAAAAAAGTTTTTTCTAAAGGCACAGCTCAGTGCACATCAGAGAACTCACACTGGGGAAAAACCCTATGAATGTAATGAATGTGGAAAAACATTTTGTATGAAGGCACACCTCAGCACACATCAGAGAACTCACACTGGGGAAAAACCCTATGAATGTAATAAATGTGGGAAAACCTTTCGCCAGAAATCACACCTTAGCACACATCAGAGAACTCACACACGCCAGAAATATTATATGGCAGAGACTGGCAGTGTATTCTCCAAAAGCCATTCTCTTTTCTCTGTGACACACAATTAGCCCACGTTTTTCTGCCTCCCATTATTGTGTGTAGGACCATGTAACTGAGCTTTGTCCAGGGGAACATGGACACAAGCAGTGAACATTACTTCCAGGCCTGGCAATAAAAAATGTCTATGCAATCCTCTGATTTCTCTTCCCTGTGGGACTGAAGTGCAGATGACTGCCTGGGTGGCCTGGGGAGCCAAAGGTGGGGAAAAGTTACTGTGATTAAGACAAAAAGAATTAATTGGAGAGAGCAGAGATTTTCCCACCTCTATCCCGAAACCCTTTGTTTGTACTTCTCATGAGTGAGAAATAAACACCCACTTTGTTGAGCCATCGTATGTGTGAACTCTTTGCATTACAGTACAACCAGCCAACTGTAGCTAATCACTTTATGGACTTTAGGAGAGAAGTTAAATTCAGTTTATTAAAAAATCAAAGAAAGGGAGAAATAACTCAACAAGTTGGGAATGACTTACCAGGCAGGCACATCTCATTGAAAACTGGGAATAAAGTCTTTACAAACATCTCTAATGTGTCCAGCCATTCACCAAACTGTCAAATTTCTGTATACCAGAGAATTTGCAATGAAAAGAAATTAGTTATTTAATGTAATATGAATATAAATGTTTTTTGGACTAAAGGGATGTTTTATCACAGACCCACAGAGAGAGACAGCCCCACAGCACTGAGGGCAGGTCATACTTAGTTTCTTTAAATTCTTCCTAATGTGCTACTAGCCCATGTCCAGAAAAGGGCACAGGTGAGTCCTCCACAGCTGGCACAGCTGTGCGTGCAGCACCCAGGCCCTGGTTGTAAGGAATCCAGGCCCAGCACAGGTTATCCTCCTGGCACTCTCTGCTGCAACAGGGGCTGGTTTAATTTCATTTCTAGATTCTACCTGTTTATATCTGCTTGTAGGTATCCATTTCCCCCATTTATAAGAATGTAATAGACACCTTAAAAAATAAACTTGCATTTTCTACATTTGTATACATACATGCACGTGTGCACATACACACCAGGAGAAAGTCTACATCCACGCTTTCCCCTAAGGCAGACACTGGCCACCTGTGGCATGAGCACTGGAAATATGGCTCATCTGAAGTAAGCTGTGCTCTGAAGGTGAAATACCCATTGGATATCAAAGACTTTGTAAGAAAATAAGAATGTAAAATATCTTTTATAATTTTAAAAATACTGATTACATGTTGAAATAATATTCTGGACATACTGGCTTAAATATATCATTACAATTTTGCCTGTGTGTTTTTACTTTAAATCTTCTTTTAAATTTTTCTTGTTATTAGACACTATCATTACTGGAAACTGACAGCTTTCTGTCCTCTATGTCCTCTCTGTTGGAGCACACCACAGATTACATGGTCTGGTGTCAGCTCAGAGAGAAATCTGAGCCTTTCCCCAGGGTGTCCTCATGACTCACTCCTCTTCGTTCACTGGATTATCAGACAGTATGAGTCCAGTCAGTGCTTCCATTTTAAGTTTGTCTTTTCCTTTTCATGAATTCTCTTCTGAAACAAAGTTTTATAACAAACAAGTTGCAGATGATGGAGGAATTTATATTGATTCCACTGCTTCTGTTTTGGACTTGATTACTTTTTACATGTGAATTTTCTTACCACTTAAATATTTAAAAATAGCCAAAGTATGTACCCTTTATATTTTTCCAAATCCAGAGTATGCATTATTTAGCTTGTGTAGTAAAATAAAACATTCCAAAACATACTTCCAAATTGCAGTTAAAAATGGATATTCCCAGATCTCGAAATGCCACCAGCCACTCTGATGGCAGCAGATATTAAAGGGAAGTGGATTTGAGTGCAGTTTGGAGTGAAAAGGCAGTGATCTTCATCAATCATGGCTACAATACATCTCTTTTCAAACTTTACATAAACATATGACCATTGGGACTTATGCTCCTGGCCCAAGGGTAGTGACAGGAACTGGATATCTCCTCCCACCAGAAGCAATTAAAATAATAAAATAAAATCCATAAAACAATTGTTCTCAAGACATTGGACACTAGGCAACAAAGTTCACCACTGAGACATGGGGAATAAAAGGTGAGGCCTATGACTGTTCTGGCTTCCACATGGAGAAAGACTCCATCCAGTCCATGGCAGAGGGAGGCAGAACCCACATGGAGCCCAGAGTTCTCTGGGTTGAAGGGAGAGAGCTTGGAGGCTGGGGAGGTGCCTCCAGTTTTTAGAGCACTGGACAGTAAAGAGCTTCAAAGAGAGGATTCCAGATCTGCTGGACTGCCCTGGAGTATTTCAGTTGAGGACTGATCAGCACATGCATGGGAGGAGACTACGTGAGGTTGGGGAAAAGAACCATCCAAAAGAATCAGAGGAAACAATCCCCAAGGCTCACATAGATCTGGGAATAGTGTCTTCCCTCCGGCCTGAGTGGAACCTCTCATCATCATGGGGCATTGAGAGTTAAACAATATTCCAAACTTAGCATATTCAAAACCCAACCACTATAATAGTCTTCCCCCAACACACGTGCATGTGCGTGCACACACACACACACGCGCACACACACACACACACTCATTTCCTGCCCCAGCCCCCACATTGGTTCAGACTGAAGTGACTAACCCACAGCAGGAGAGAGTTGACTCTCTAGGAGTGACACTAGGGCACACACACACACACACTCATTTCCTGCCCCAGCCCCCACATTAGTTCAGACTGAAGTGACTAACCCACAGCAGGAGAGAGTTGACTCTCTAGGAGTGACACTAGGAGCTGCCAGTGAGGAAACCAGGAACTCAACACTGTCCTGAGGCACCTTCGGATGCTGGCCCTGATCGTTACGTCCAGGAAATGAAGGACATTGGAGAAAGTGTAACCCATCCTACATCCTCAAGTGGAGCCAAAATTACACTGGAAAATGGAAAATGTGTGCATCTAGATGCCCTCTTGTAGAGTGTCATTACTAAGCACTGGCTCAGGAACAAGGTGCTTCATGAATTGCCAGCTGTGTGGCTCAAGGCAGCCTACAGACCCCTCAAGACTTCAGTAAAATGACTGCAGAAGGCTGTCATGGAGATTAAATTAGGTGCCACACATATTTTGCTTATTTCTCGGTACATAATGCTGAATAAATATTAGCATATGCATTAGTAATATAATCATGTTCATTATCTGGTTGGTTATTATTTTTCCCCAAGTTTTAATTCTATTGCTGTGTTCATAAGAAAGAAGTTGAAAAGGGTGTGTAAATCTCAACCAACAGTCCCCAGCTACTAATGCTCCCCAGATACTCCTCCTCATTGATAGAAGTACATAGACACCCCAAATTTAACACATATGTTGTCAACCTAGAGAACAGATATGACACCTTTGTAATACCATGTAAAGAAAATGAATCCAAGGCATAAAACTACAAAATTGACATTGTTTTCCTCTTTGAAGGTCTCTGTTCTTATCTTGGCAAAAGGATAATTTCCTCCTTCTAAAGGGGGATTCAGGAGAAATAACAGAAAAGATAACACAGTTTTCTCTTATTCACTGCAGGTGTTGCTCCCCTGAAGAAAGGCAACCTTGCAGTTCTGTGTGATTCCTGACAGCCCCCTGGGGTGAATCGATAACCGTGTCTTTAGAACCGTGTCTAGTCAGGGGAAGACAGCAAAGCTTCTGTTTTAAGCCATTTCTGTTGCTTATAACAGAACTACCCGAAACTGGGTCATTGGTAAGGAAACAACAATTATTGCTTACAGTTTCAGAGGCTGGGAAGTCCAGGGAACATATCTGGTGAGAGCCTTGTTGATGGGTAGTGACTCTTCACTGCAACACAGGGTGTCACATGGTGAGGACGGCAGAGCAGAGAGAGAATAATCTCATTCACTGTCCTTTTAAACCTACCAGAACCACTCCCATTATTCCAAGAATGGATCAACCCATTCATGAGGGTACAGTCCTCACAACCCAATCACTTCTTCAAGGCCCCACGTTCCAACTACCACAATAGGGTTTCCCACCTTCTTAACACTGTCACTGTGGGGACCAAGCCTCAATCAATTTAGGGGGACATCCAATCCACAGCAGCTTCCCAACCAGAGTTGATGTGAATAAGCAGATTTAGCATGAAAATCCCTGAGAAGTCTTTGAAAACCTCTAACCAACTTCAAGCTGAGCAGAAACAGTGCTTCCTCAGTAATCCAATTTTGTTGCTCTAGTTCTCACATTGCTGGGTGTGCCACCAACACTCCAAGAAAGCATAAGGGGTGAGGACCCACCCTGGGAGCATGTATTTGACCTGTGCTACACTTGGATCTGTGTTAGTCCAAGCTCTTTCTGTCTTTGACGGTGGAGTCCCTAAGCAGAACATGACATCTTTTACAATTTACATATTATAATGACAATGATGAACCTTTGTGCCTGTAACTGTGACTCCAGTGGGGCCTCTTTATTGCCATTACCAGGGCAGTTTGCCATTGCTGGACAAGAGGGGGGCAGACACACGGCCAACAGCCAGCCTACACCACACTTGAAAGCCACCAAGTCATGGAATATAGTCAGCCACAAGCCAAGTGACTGAACAAAACAACCTCTTCTGCTCCACCTTGACACGAGAGTGCAGAAGCCAATACCTACTGGAGAGACAGTCCGTGGCATGGATGCTCCCACCTGCTGGCTTAGAAGCCAGGGGCCAGAGGCGGAACGAGGTGGAGCTGGTGGAAAAAAGTCTGGGCTGGCACCTTCTTTTTTTCTTTTTAAAGATGACCGGTAAGGGGATCTTAACCCTTGACTTGGTGTTGTCAGCACCACGCTCAGCCAATGAGCGAACCGGCCATCCCTATGTGGGATCCGAACCCGGGGCCTTGGTGTTATCAGCACCGCACTCTCCCGAGTGAGCCACGGGCCGGCCCAAGGGCTGGCACCTTCTGAAAAAGTTCCTCAGCAGCCCACACTGGAGAGATCCCACAAGGATGCTTTTCCAGACCCTGAGCAGCCGAACAGCTCGGCTGGAGGTTCTGTGTTGGTCACAGCTGCTTGATGAAGAGTCCTTGGTGCACTTCTGAGCAGGGATTTAAAAAGAGCCTGTTAAGGGCCGGCCCCGTGGCGCACTCGGGAGAGTGTGGCGCTTCGGTGCGCAGCGGCGCTCCCGCCGCGGGTTTGGATCCTATATAGAGATGGCTGGTGGGTTGCGATCCCCTTACCGGTCACAAAAAAAAAGACAAAAAAAAAAAAAGAGCCTGTTAATTACGGAAAAAGAGAAGACCCTGAGCAGACTGCAAATGATGATTCTCCCGGTTGCGAATCCCTGCTGTGCAATTTTTACCCATTCTGTAGACACATTTTTCTCTGTGTCCACTGAACTTTTTAAAAATTCAGGTAAAATTCACATAACATCAAAGTCACCATTTGCAAGTCTACAATGCAGAAGCCTTTAGTACATTTACAGTGTTACACAACCGTCACTACTGTCTAGTGGCAGAGCATTTTCATCACCCCAAAAGGAAACTCTACCCATTAGTGGTCACGTCCCCCCCACCCCACCCAGACCCTGGCAACCACTGATCTGCTTTCTATCTCTATGGATTTGCCTAATCCCCTTGCATTTTGATGCATAACAAGTTATGTGGAGCAATTGCAATGTGATCAATTTAAACATGAAATAGGATCAGCCCTGTTTGACTGTCTATGGGCTCCTGTTTCTCTGCATGGAGGGATCTGGTTCTCTTAGGGCTCTGTAATGGTACAAGAGGACGGGAACAAGGAGCATCCCAAGGTACAAAGCTACATGCTGCGGAGAGGGCCAGAGGACCTGATACCCTTTTCACTTTCTTCCCAGTCCTACAGGGAGAAGCAGGAGTCTCACCAACATGAGGTAATTCATGGATTCACTTACTCACTCACTCATCAGCAAATGTTTACAGAGGGCCTCCCATGTGCTAAGCACAGTGCTGAGAATGGAAAGATCTAGACTCAGCTCAGATCCAAAGTATTGGAGAGACATAGACATGTGAATGATTTGACATCAAATATAACATAAATGCTTTTAAAAGGATGGTGTTGGCAAGGTGCCCAGTGAACCCACAGAAAACCTACCCCAAGGTCTACGCACTGGGGCACTGACCAGGCCACCCTGGTTTCATCCCGGCCTTGTATGCCAGCCTCCCTTTCCACCACATT